CCGTGACGGAACCTCCACTTCCTTAAGAGGGGTTTTCTGTTAAGGAAAACCCCGTTTAAGTGAGACTTTAAAGTGTTGAGTGCAACCTACTGTAAAACGCATGCTCAGAAACAGCAGGCATTGGTCGTACATACGATGCAGACATGAAAGTCAAGTTCGCCAGAGACCAACGCTCGAAAATATCAGTTGTTTATCTGAGTCGTGGTTGCCCTGAAACCCGGTCAACTTATCTATGCGCAAATCTTTCAGTTTGTCCAATAGTCTCTCTAGACCTTCGACCTCCTTCAGCTCACAGTGATGCTTCGGCCGTCTGACGTGTTGACTGTCCGAGCCTCTCCCACCCCGCCTTGATATAATCCCGATCACCTAGCAGAAAAAAGGATTTGGTATTGAATTGACCGATCAAATCGCCACAGTGCCAACATCTTTACACCATGCGTGATGAGAAACGACAATCTCCTCCATATTTTCTCCTCGCCTTTGTGCCGCGGGATGGCGAGTAACCCTTCACGTCTCATTCGAATTTTTCGACGCACATCGCGAGGCGCCAATCCGCTCGTTTTACAACCCCATCAGACAAACCGGATGCCATTAGGGGCCTGCGGACGATCTCCTCTCGCGACTGGCGGGCGCTGATTGAAAAACGGACCGCCAACTAGGCACGTCCAACGGCCGCCAAACGGCTCCAGATTACCGGCAGGCTTTCCGCGGCAACTAATGACAGCCTTGGCTGGTGTTCCGCAGACGCTGTTTTGTTGCAACTCGGTCTTTCTGACCTATATTTATGACAAACCATTTTGCATGGAGAAGACAGTTGAATTTTGTGCTGTGAATCTTCACATCGCAGAAGACTTGCCAATATTGTGCCAACGTTGATCACTCGAATCGAGATGATACGGCGCTATTTTGGCTGTCTTGCTTCCACATGAGCATGCCAATAAGATCCATCCCAGACACTGCAGATTCAATAAATGCGAGCTCTCCAATATCTTGTGCAATTTCTATGATAAAAGCATCTTGCGTTACATATCTTCGAAGATTGGGGTCCTGGTCCTGACCCGGTTTTAGTTGACGTGAGGTTTGCATTGCAGTATATTTTGTAATATTGAAATACATTGCTGCTTGTATTGACTTCTCTTGGTGTGATGTACTGAGTGCCGGCTGAAGCATGTGACGCAACTGATCCTTGCACGCTGTGGAAACCGTAAACTGATCAAAATGGCAAAAGGTATACATTTGGAATATAATGATGAAAATAGTTCGATTCAATAATCGGAAGTTCCAAAATGCACGCAAACCGAAATCACCATGCGTTAATGCAAATATTGTGCCTGCCGTGAGCAAATAATCTAAAGCTCTAATCTGACTTTAAAAAATGGCTTTCGCAATCCTCCAGGTACGGCTGCCATGTTCTCCTTGTCTTTAAAGTAGTGGGGTTTGCACATTTTTTCCAACACTTTAAGTCTTATGTCAGTCAAAACATGGAGCTGTGACGTCACTGGGAAGTATTTAAATGGTGGACTGTGCTTTGGCCATGTTGATGAAGCAATCAGAACTTTATCATCTTTTGCGTCGGTTTGTTCGTAAGCAGCATGTGAAATGGCCTGACATTGCCCCAAACAATGCCAATCACACGTGATATAAAATAATATATCGTCATCCAAAAGCATTATAAGTTGAACTCATCAACACTTCACTAATCATGTGTGCTCCTCTTTTCAACATAAATTGTCAATATGTTTAAGATGTAATTGCTCATTCTTCACACTAACGACTTCCCATTAGTTGACCGTTCCTGCTTTGTAAGACCATACAGGAGAAGACATGTCATAGAGCTGGACATAGCTGCGCGACCTGTGTGAAAGAAAATGGGACTCAGGAGAGCATAAAATGACGTTGACTTCATCATGACCTGACCTGACATTGACCTTCGGCTGATGTCGGTCTAACGTGGCCTCTTTCTGAACTGAACATTACTTTTCGGAGACATGTTTATGAGCTTGAAGCCTAATAGTCGTTCCTCAGTTTGACGTTAGTTTCGAAGGCGCAGACTTGAGTAGCGCGCTACGCGGCTTTAATTATATAAACTATTTTGTGGGCTTGTGGGTTACGTTACAGCATGGGTGCCATGATGTCGTCATGTCATGATGTCATGCGGACGTCATGGATGTGGCGTCATGGGTAGCGAGAAAGAAGCAAACTGTTGTTTCGGTGGACGAACTGGGAACATCGATCGCCGTTTACTCCGATCCCAAACTTACATCTCCAAGAAATGTGTTAGACGGCCAAGGCGTTCGAGGTTGGAAAATAGCACAGGACATGGCCGGATGCGAAATCCGCATGTACTGTATACGAATGTTTCGCTTGGTGAATTGTGGTTGCATTCAGTGTGGGCGCCATTCAGACATACCGAACGGTTAGACATACCACGCGTCCCAGTGACGCGCGCCACGCAGCATCAGCAGCCAGCCACTAAGGAGGCGAGACACGCGAGAGACCAGTACGTCCATCATGTCGGTACGGAGTTGCCGGACCGCGGCCATCGGTGGGGTTACCAGATGATGACCCGGCTAACGAGATTACTCGGACATCGGAGTGCCCATTTACCGTGTTACCAAGGCACCGCATGAAGACTGGCCCTGCAGCCAGCTCTTCAAGGTATGCTCTCCCAAGGGCTAGGGCGCTAGAGCTGATGGTCACCGAAATGCTGGTCAGCGCCGAGCGAGTTCGCTGACACGCTACAGCATGCACAGTCGTTCTCCGGAGGATTGGCTTTTGCTTAGTTAATAAGCCCAGATACCGCAGAATCTGCATTGGGTTTAGCCGAGTCGAGTCACCCGGGTGCGGGTTTGTGCTTAACAAGGTCACCAGTGCCCTGGTCCTTGCATAGACAAGTCATTAGGGTTTTGACCATTGCTTCGTGAAGTCACCAGATTATAGTGTGACGCTCAGTTAGTTCACCAGAATACTATCCCATGCTAAGGCAAGTGACTTAAGTACTTCGCTTAGTGAGGTCACTGGAGGCTAATTCGGATATCGCTTTGTTTTCATATTGCTAACACGACGATACACCAGTCACTGGAGCAGAAGTTCGTCCTTAGCAAGCTCGGGCAGAGGAGTACTGGCTCGCACTCAGTCAGGTCATCAGAGCACAGACCCGTTCTCAGACTGGCCAGCAAAGTTCTTCCACGTGATCCTTCAGGTCATAAGTCCGCCCATCCGTGGCCGTCATAAGTTCGTGCTCGAATGACCCGGAAGCCATCCCAGCCACGGGTTTCCAGGGAGAGGACTTCGGCGGCTTGCAGGCCAGCACACTCTAGAGCCGATAAATAGCCTTTCCCGGAACTGCACAAACATCACATGACATACCTGCTCTTATAACCGAAATGGTCCCATAGAGAACAGTGTAGAATACCATAAACTCATCCTAACGTTTAGAACGGGACATTTAACAAATATAATTTCTCAGCACGCAGTATCAGAAACACTGCCTAATCCAATGCTGAGAATCGGCATTAAGACCACAGTCCTGACGACGCCCGTCGTAATGGCAAGGGTCGGGTGTTAACTACAGTGTGCCGGTTCACCTTTTCAAGAGGAACTGAGGGGGGGGGGAGGGGGCACGAAGATAACCAATGTATCCCACAGTGGCTTGGTGTTCACAGCACACAGAGCGCGTTTTATACGCTGCCAGGGCAGCTGCCTCGCCGAGACTCCCGGATCTTCTTGCACTGCATCGATTCCGCGGCCAAATGTAAAACTGCATCACACGTAAGTTGACTGGACGTCTTGGCTTCTTTTGTATGAGTCCCAACCCACTCATACCGCCAGTTTGGGATGTTTCGCATCAAGTTTTGTGTGAATGTACGCTGCAGTATTATCTCGATCTCCACATAAGATCAAGTTCAAGATCAATGCCAATGTTTCATCTCTCAACAGCTCTCGACTGTTTTTACTGTTTCGGCCAATTGCGAGCATATCGCGAAGGTCTCTCAAGGACTGGGCGAAACGTAAGGGCACTTGCTGTTTGGATTAGCGACGCGGCCAAATCCGACCCACCAAACGAGTGGTCCTTGGCAGGCTCGTAGCACTGAAATACACGGGCATAGAAAGATGATGTTTTGACCAGAATACCGTCTCACCTTTTGAAATGCGCGCAATTGTAATTAATCCCTATCCCTTCGCAATGGTGTTGCAAACGAATGTTGTCTGTGTAGCACTGCATACAAAATATTCGCGCATTCCGCACGTTGCTGATAGCATCGACATGAACTGTTGCTGCGCATCAGACTCAACGCTTCAGGTTAAGTAATGGATACCACCTTTCCTGTTGACCAGTGAAAAAATAATATTATGTAACGTCAAATTTACCTAGTGTTGACCACATCCAAAATGGTCATCTTCGCCGGTGGAAATTTATTATTTCCACCAGTGTAAATACTGAAGGATGGGTACGTAAAAAAACATTATTGCCAGCTGCGATAGCAAGGCACGTGAGTTTTGTTGTATGGAAGAAAGCTGGCATTCATCTATGATCATTCATCGTTGGTAACTTTAAGGGACGGGATATGGGGATGTAATGGCACATTTGCGCCCGGCGAACCTGATGAGAAGACGCAGTTCAATTTCCCTAGTGTTCATGAAATAGCAGCACTGTTTGGAACCCGTCTATTAACCTGCACACAAGCAGGGATTAAGATGGAGAGAAGAAGAGGTACAACATGCCCGGGATCGTTCTCAACAGCTGTGGCGTATGGTGCACACCCCGCGACACGTGACACATCTTGTACATTGGATTGTCATTAGGAGCATTTACCGACGCTTGTTTCCCTGGAGAAAATACTGACACTCTGCCACTCAATATACCATCAACGGCTCCCAGAAATTGAATATTCATTGCGCTGCTCCCCGCGGCCTAGGAGTCATGACAATCAATCATCGTTTTCGGAAATAGCACTCGCAGTCAGCAGAGCGCGGTGGCAGGCAGCATGAATCCTCACCGAGGCCTCCGGAGTGTAGTGCGGCGAGCAGCAGGACAGTACCGGCTGGCCAGGCGCGTCGGAGCAGCCAGCCGCTCATCGTGCTGAGTCCGCGCGCCGCTCAGGTCATGACCCGAACCGCCGCCGGCACCCGGTGTGGCGCGGCCGCTGCGCCGCCGCCCCGCGCGCGCTCGCCCTCCGCGCGCAGCACCGCCGGCCGGACGCGGCGCGCTAGGTCGTCACCGCCTGGCGCGCGTCGCCCGCCGCCGCCGAACCGTCACTGGCGGCGGGGCTGCCGGGCACCGCCGGCGCCGACGGTACCGACGCGGCGGAGCGGCGGCGTGCCCCACTACCGCCGGGCTCAGGGGCGCCGTCCCGGATCCAGCCACGTCGCCCGGCTTCGGCTGGAACGACGCGGCCGAGGAGCACCGGCTGAACCTGCTCCCGGGCTGCTGACAGGTGACCGTGCACAGCACGGCAGAGCAGCCTGATGCAGCCTAAATGCACGGCTTTTGTTTAAAGAAGCTTATTTTCAACGAAAACCCCTTTTGGCATGAATGCCTAGAAAGCCGCGGGAAATGTTTTAAATACATTGTTTTACATTGTCCGGCCTTCCTGACGCAGTTTTCTCGCGCAGTTCTTGTTCCGACATAGCGAGGTAAAGTGCTTCTACCACTATGGCGTAGCGTACCCCTATTAATTTCAACGAAATTTTTAAAAAAGCTGAAAAGCTGAGATTGGGAAGAAAGGACGAGAAGCAGGCAAAAAGAAACTATACCATGAGAACTAGATAGCATGATTTGCATATATAGGACTCATGCAACAACAAAAACAGTCGTTTAAGGCTCAGTTCCCCTAACCTGCGCCTATAAGGGTAGTGTAAATGCCACGTTTAGGCGGCCGAGAGACGGGGTAAATCTAGCCTGCTATATTTACTGCTTAATATGCTAGAGCCACAAAATGTTCAGAATTGGTCACGATAGCCACGAGTCAAGCATTTTAAGCCCAAGGGAGAACACCGAGCAAAAATGTAGGCCGCTTAACAATTACCATTGAATATGTAAATCACAAGGACATTAACACATTTACGTCTCTGGGGGCTTTTCACGCCATATCGACCGGCGCCTAACATTCTCATCTATCAGATTCTGATGGAAATTCGTCAACAGGGTGATCTGGAGCGATTAATCCAGCCATGCTGGTTTGAGCTGTATTGAACGAATGGTCACTGCATGAATCATCAACAATTTTTGGGAGGTCATCATCTCGTGAAAAGACAGCGTAAACAGTTAACAAGTACGTAGTGATCAACTCACAAACAGCCAATAATTATTTTTCATCCATGCATTTGAAATTTTTGAACTTTTGGCCAAATGATCTCTGATGCCGCGACCTGACTTTCGTGAGGACACACCAAACGCCCATAAGGTATAGACTATTCCACACAGGTCTCGTCTGCAGCTAGTACTGGAGCTAGCATCTGAGAACATATTATACGTATTAAGAGACACCCAGCATTAAACTTGACATGCCATTATGACCTGGTTGAAAATTTGGGCGTTCCAGTTTTGATCTGAAAAGGATATGCTCTAACCGTTTCATGTCCTTATTAAGGAACTGGTCCAGCACATTAAAGAAATACGTGTTTGTGCGAACATGCGTGCGTGCGTACGTATGTGTGTGTATACGTGCGTGCGTGTGGGGGGGGGGGGGAGCGGGTGTGGGGGGGGGGGGGGGGTGGATGTGGGTGTGGGTGTCTTCTTGTTGGAAAAAAACACCAGAGAGCCTCCGGCCAGCACCGTCGCCGGAGCGCTTTATTCCTATTAAGCTAACCTGTTCATCCCGTCTAACAGGGCTCAAAACAGATAAAACGAAAGCCATAGAGATCGTACTATCCCTGAGATGAGTGGCATTAAGGTAGCCCACTGCATCCAAATAGGCTGGGAGGATTAGTTGGGTCTCATGCTGAGTTCAACGTTTTAATGCGGAAGGACCATCCTTCAGTGTATCAGAAGGTATGAATTAAGAGATGTTCTAGAGCAAACATGTTTCATATTGACCTTACCCGAATTTAAAGCTGTGTTTAGGTTCATTGGTCAACCTTTACGAGTGAACTTCAGTAAACTAACATAAACAAGTTTAAGCGAAAACATTGCGCTTGAAAACCACACTGCTGATGCCGCAAATACTCCGATTCTATGCAGGCACTACCAAGGTAAATTTGTCAAGCATCAAAAACATCCGAGCTCCCACATGCTAACACCAGATGCGCGGTTTTACGACCGGGGCTGCAGGAAACGCAGGCGGCTACGCCGGAAGCCCATAATAAGCTATATGGAGTATTAGGTTGGAAAACGACCTTTCACGATTGACACCATGAGCATTGCACGAACCTGATAAACATCCAAGGAATTCATGTTCTTACAGGAACCCAATGTGCGACACTGCTTAAGTATGCCCCGAAATACAGACTGCCAACCTGAAGGTTTCGATGATCGTAACGGGTATCAGGATAGAAATAAATTAATGAGAGAGAGAGAGGGGGGGGGTGAGAGAGAGCAAGGGAAAGGGAGAGAGAGGGTCAGAGAGAGAGGGTCAGAGAGAGGAAGAGGGAGAGAGAGGGTCACAAAGAGAGGGTGAGAGAGAGGGAGAGAGTGAGAGAGAGAAAGGGAGAGAGAGTGAGAGAGAGAGAGAGATAAAGGGAGAGAGAGAGAGAGAGAGAGAGAGAGAGAGAGAGAGAGAGAGAGAGAGAGAGAGAGAGAGAGAGAGAGAGAGAGAGAGAGAGAGAGAGAAGAGAGAGGAGAGAGAGAGAGAGAGAGAGAGAGAGAGAGAGAGAGAGAGAGAGAGAGAGAGAGAGAGAGAGAGAGAGAGAGAGAGAGAGGTATTGATAAAACATGGCTTTGTATCCATTTATGTATCTTATATCACATGTGCACAATATTCTGCCAATAAAAATTCACTATGAGAATGTACAGATTAACGCAGTGAATATTCTCGCGCCTACAGGCTCCTCCGAAGTAGGATGCAGCATACCATGCTACCATCAACAAATATGGAGCTAGGGGTCAATAACCTGATCAATTCCTCTGTATCCTGACACTCGGCACGGGCCATGAAATCCTTTCGGGCTAAGCCGTCTGTGTTTCGGCCATCTCGCAGCTATACCGTGTATTGATTGCTAGTTCATGAGAACCTGAATGCGGTGGAATCACTGTTTGTACTTTGGAAGCTTATGTCGTGCACATGAGACCATTCACAGACATTCCTGGTGCCAATGGTCTTTTACCACCTTGTTGGTATAACTGTTTCTGGGATTCATTTATTTTGGGGGAGAAACGTTTCACTCCTTTCAGGGGAATGTGCTCACCAGCAAGGTATTGCAGCTTCATTTCTCCTAGCACGGTGAATAAACTGTGATCTAGAACGCTTTGGTCCCCACGGATCCAGAGCAAGGGAGTTTTTGCTATATTCGCCCAAGGAACAGTTGGTAAGAATTTATCATGATTTACATACTATTTAGAAAATACTTAAACGCGCTGAATTACGTAAGCTGTTAAGTGCGTTTGCGAGGAACATTTTGCGCATAGAAGAGACAGTATAGAGTAGTCTTATTCCTCGGAGAAACACCAGGAGAATGGAGATATAGATGCGATAATATTTCAGCGGCATGCCTTGGTCGAAACGAATAGCAGGAGTGAATCGTTTCTTTTTTATTCCTGATTCCTCCTCTGCCATTCGTTTCGACAATGGTATGTTGCCGAAATGTCAACGCATCTATATCTACATTCTTCTGTTTTTTTCGGAAGAATAAGCTTCAACTACCTTTCCATCTGTGTTTTAACGGTCGAGATCAACTTCGAATTGATTCGACAATTTGCCGGCTAGCCCTTTGGCTTCAAAGCGGATTACGGCCCCGAAGTTATTGGATCACCTGTGTCGAGAAAAACCTAGTTTAATTAAATCGCTATAACACTGCGTATATTTGCATGCCTTATTCGGATCAAGTCTTACTAGGACTCACTATCCCGGGACCTTCTTACGTAGTCATATCGATGCGAAGTTTCAGCATTGGCATAGGCCATATGGAACCATAGGAGTCGGTGGTAATGACTCCAGTTAAGGTGATATTTGGGTCCGCGACATTACGGTCGAAGGGAAAGCGCATGAGTTACAATGATCTAGTTGTTCACAATGTGTCGGGGTAGAAGGACTACTTTACGCATTGGTGGTTTTCTGGTCGGCCTAAGAATATAAAGGGCGTTTATGCGCCCACCCCATTTACCTAGACTGCACCTGTGACATCCATTCCATGTCTGAGCCATGTGCGCATCTGGCACAATTGAGGTGTGGTATAACGAGACCTACATTCCACCCGCCCCCGCCGCAGTCTTACCCGTTTAGTTGACATGCCGTATGGTGACAACAATAGTCATGTGACAGGTTTATGACTGACGCCTGAGATATTGCAACGCTTGTCCTACAAGCTGGCACCAGCTTCGATGCACCTCCAATTCCTCCAGACGGCAGTTCCGACGCAGCGTCAGTAGCCGTGGCGAGAGCGTTGGGAAACCAGCGTACTATCGCCTTTAAGTCTGTAATGATGATGTAAGAGAATCAAACACACCGGTCATTGAGGCGCAGGCGGCACGTGATTCGCCGTGAGCACCGATACGCTTTCAGAAGTTGGAAGTAGGTGGGTCAATTACTGGGGATTCAGCCAGGTGGCGTGCGCTGCAACTAACACATTTATGTCGCCGACAAGGCTCATTTGGAGAATGTATTATGATTACCTGGGCGGGAGCGTCGTATCGACGGTAATCAAAGGGTCCGACGCCGTTGATCAGACAGTAGGCAAACATTTAGCGATTATGAACGACCAATGTCAACGGCCAATGCCCATCACTGGCCGTATAACCACGCATGAATCTTCGCAGTGATTCCACTAAGAACTTCGGTTCCATCGGCTGCTATACACACGCTAGTTTGCAATAACGCGGTGCAGTGGCTAAAAGGATTGAGTCTAAACAGATCGATTTTGTCACATGCGCAGGCACCGGAAAAAAAATATTGCGCCTGCCTGATGCAAGGCATCTCTGGAGAGTATACCGATGTCTGACAATGCGATGATAACGATAGCACGATGTTAACGTTATTC